CTCGTCGGTGCTTGCATAAAACGTGATTTGGATCTAACATGTGTATAATGATATTGATAAACAATCGAAATTCTCTGTACAATATTATGCTAAATATTTACAGAGTAGACTTCCTTATGTTGTGGTCATATTAGACTGTAATATTATTATTAAAGAAGTCCATTCAACAAACAACATAAAAAATATATACCAAAATTATTAGGTTAAAGTTCTCATGTCGGTGCATGCATAAAACGTAATTTCCTAAAATTTGGATATCTGAGATTGACAGACAAAATTCTGTATATCCTATATATACTAATTTAACGAGTGGACTTCCTTGATTTAAGGAAATGTATATTGAGATACGCAAAGTTTAGAAGGTTAGAAGTTTAAAGGAGAGGACTTCCTAATGTTGTGGTCATATTAGACTGTAATATCATTAAAAACCATTCAACAAAAAACATAAAACATATCAAAATTATTAAGTTAAGCTTTCTACTTCGGTGCATGAATATAACGTAATTTTGGGATATATGCTGTCTCTTATACACATCTAGATGTGTATAAGAGACAGGTATATATATATATAAATTATAAATACATATAAATGAGGATACAATGTACAGAAAATCTAAAGCATCTTGCAGGTTGCTATAATAATGGGGTGAATGGGAAGAGTTGGTTGAACCGCGGCTTTGGTATACAGGGGTTCCGATAGAGTATTGGTTAAAATGTTAAGATTTAATATTTGCTTTCAAATTTTATCAAAAAAAATAATATAGGCCTCTTTTGTATTCTGGACATTTTTGACTGTCCTAAAAATGTGGACCTTTTTAGAGTTGGGGGTGGGGCGGTGGGGGAGCGTACCCACTCATATTAAAGTAACGTTTTATTAACTTGTACACTTATTGAATCAATTAAACAATCAAATATATGTTTTTGAATTTGTATTCCTATAGCTCATTAGAGTATGAATATCGTAATGTTACCAAAAAGTGTTTTTAATCTAATGAGCTTTATACTTAGGCCATATAGGCCTACTTAACACAGATGCCGAAAAGAAAATATTTTGAATGTATTTCTCACTAGTTCTGTTTTATTTCAGTGTTTTAGGTCAAATTTACCAATACATCAAGAAGTGCGAGGAACACGATGAGTATTAAATTGCCGGAACACAGTGTACTATCAACAGCCAGATTTGTGTGGTTTTCTGCAAATAACAGCGCGCGAATACTTATTAGGTTTTATACCACTGGATCATCAGAATTTAATTAAATTTACAAATTATGTTTCTTTTGTAATCCTCGAACGATACTACACACTTAATATAATTAGGCGAAATGGATTATAAATATTATAGTATATTATCAATCTTTATGTTTTATTTATAACAGGTTTATATCGTTCTGATGTAACATTTGCGAGAATGTAAGAAATAAAAGTTATTATTTATAATACATCACTGTGTGTACTTCCTTTGTCGTAATTCCATTAATAATAATTTAGTTCATGATGTTAATCAGTATATAATCGAATTAAATATATTATAAATCAATTCGAATCAAATATACCACTATTATAGGCTACGGTACTATATCTTATAAACACTAATATTTCCAAATATATTTTACTTGATACCAACAAGTTACGAAATTTACATCATTTCCGGTTTTATGTTTTTGTTGATGGCGCCCTCGAAAGGATGTCAAATTTGATACAACCGGAAATGACGTGGATGCTAAGCAACAAGCTCATGCATAATCATGAATATTCAGTAACACCTGTTCTAATTAGACTAACAATAAAAACTTTTAGCTCAGTTTTGACAAAATCGACCAAAAAGATTTTATTGTTAGTCTAATTAGAACAGGTGTTACTGAATATTCATGATTATGCATGAGCTTGTTGCTTAGCAATCACGTCATTTCCGGTTTTATGTTTTTTGTTGAGGGCCTCCTCCAAAGGATGTCAAATTTGATACAACCGGAAATGACGTGGTTGCTAAGCAACAAGCTCATGCATAATCATGAATATTCAGTAACACCTGTTCTAATTAGACTAACAATAAAAACTTTTTGCTCAGTTTTGACAAAATCGACCAAAAAGATTTTATTGTTAGTCTAATTAGAACAGGTGTTACTGAATATTCATGATTATGCATGAGCTTGTTGCTTAGCAATCACGTCATTTCCGGTTTTATGAGTTTTGTTGAGGGCCTCCTCCAAAGGATTTCATTGCTAGGTAAATAGACAAATGGACGAAGTAGCTAATATTTATGAAACAATTCTTAACTTTTGGTTTACGCATATAAGGGTATTTTATTGAATTTATTACAGTAAACACAGACATTGAATAAGATGAGAAGAAATGCATAATTCCATTTTATATTTATTTTCAAGATTGAAATCAAGTTGGGATATATGTATACATTTTATTATATACTCTATATATTACATGTACATTCGGAAAAAATTAATATACCTGATTTTAATCCTCAAAATTATATGTAGGCCTATTATTATCTTACATGTCTACATTCTTGCAACAAACGGGTTATTTTCTCTATTAAGATAAACATTAGTAATAATAATACAATATTATTAATCATAAAGCCTACAGCATTAATACATAATGCTAACATTATTTGCGAGATTTTACAGAGGAAAATATTAAAAATATATATATTCACACTATATTCTAATTAATTTCATATGCAGAATTTATTCAGGAAGCTTGATGAGTGTCAACATTTTTGGCTATCTATAGTAATTGGTAAGTTCTGTTGCCCTTTGACGATTGGGTCTGGACAATCCTGTGGATTCTGTGTCTACCTCACTGGAATAGAAAAGTATTGAGAAAAAATTTAGAAACAGAAAAAGAATTATAACGGAGTATCAAACACATAATATATAAATAAAAATTAGCACCCAAACCTGAACATTATCGTATTCATTTTTTTCACAATGTATTGACAATGCTGATACAACAGAATAGTACTTCACACTTCACATATCAACATTATCATATTAAAATTGCTTATAGCTAACATGTAGGATGCTTATAATATCATCATATATATGGAATAAATGAGAATTATTAAATACATGGTGTAGTAGATTGCAAAAATTACGTGAACAAAATTATTTTAGCATTCGATTGTCATGGTTAAATAAAATATATAAAAGTGTACACTTCGATAGAAAATATAGATTCATAAATACAGTATATTCAAACAATAAACATAATACTATAATTATATCTTCATACGAACATTTTTCATAATATAATATTTATTGACTGATTGATTGAATTTGTTTGATGCTCAACATGCACATGCAAGATAAAAAATGAATATGATCAAGAAAATAAAAATTAATAAGCATTAGGAATGCCCATTAAGCCGGAGTCCAGCCCATTTCTAAAGGGGTCCAATTTAAATATATACTGTCTGTCATGAGCTGAAAGATGAAACGTTTAATTCCATAATTAAATAATTATATTTCAGTAAGTTATTAACTTACAAATAAACACCAGAATGACAAAATTGTTTCCCTGTTAAATAATGACAGTTAAATAATACCAGTATTATAGGCCTATGCTTATATATATATAGGCACTTAAATTGGCTGGTAGTATCAATTTATGAGTTTTGTAGTAAAATGTCCGTCAATCAGGAAAAATGACAAAAATATAGCCAGGGAATATTGATCGGGGTCTGAAACAAGGGGCTGCCTAGAGCCTCAGTCAGGGTCCCGGAATTAAATTCATGGGGTGGGATTCATGATGATATAATTTTATGAGAATTTTGTATTCATTAATATGGTGTAGTCACTTATTGCAAATTACTCGAGGGACTGCATAAAATATATACGCATAATTGATGGGGAGAAAATTTACGATTCAGGATTAATATTTATTTGTCGTTTAGCCAGACGATGGGGGGGGGGGTTGATGTTAGTTTATAAGTTATGGTAACGCGGGCTACATGAGCAATCTACTTGCTTTTGAATTAAAAACTAATAACTATTTACAGCAACTATATGACGTTACCGGGGCCCAGCATACCACCTAATGTGGAGTATCCGTGCATACATGGCCACATAGAGAGTGACGCTCACCCGTGCACGGCTCATGTCTGGTTTTTAAACTGTATCTGGTTTCCTTAATCGCCCCTGTTTCATATTTCGACTTTCTTTTGGAGGGGCGCCATGAGCGTTTTCTCGTAAACGGATACCGGTGCTTTATAAATTTAAATATTTTTTTTTCATTATATGTAAGATGGTCAACTGCTGTATTTTTGAAAATAAAAATACAATTTGAGAGCAGCTAGCCAGTGGCGGATTCAAGGGGGAGTGTGCAACATTCCCCCCACCTAATAGGCCTATTTTAAAAGTGGAGAAAAAAAGAAAATTGTATTCATATTTAAGTCATTTCCGGCCAAAGCGTGGAGCATGGAGGTGCCATAATCAAATCAATTTGTGAAATTCTCACCCTAGATCCCATCTATTTCGAATTACTGGATCCGCCATTGGTAGCTATAGTATTTGATATCGACATCATGGAGGTACACATCCGTGAAGATATTAATATCTATTTGATAAAGACAGAATTCCCATTTAACAGCTGAATAAACGATGCAAAATATTCAATACTGTACTCACATTTGTTATTAATGTAAAGTCTCCTTTGTAGTCTTGCAACTCCATTCAGTATTGTGTATAGTAAAACGCTACCTGAGGTATCAAAAACAATTCATTATTTTGATTATTAACGTGAAATCAACTGCACAACGAACGCACGTACAATTGTGAAGCGAAAAGGAAGGTACAAGTGAAGGGCAGGAAAGGATGGAAGGTTAAAAAAAGGGGGAAAAGAAAAAAGAAAAATTGATCGCTCAAAACGCATCAGTTGTTATTTTCGGGCGTCTAGAACACAAATTTCGCGGGGCATGCCCCGGACCCCCTAGGGTGGTACTATCTCGATCGCCCCTCTACTTTCGGCCCCACTTTTGGACATCTCTGGATCTGGATTGGAACCTACTTCGATCAATTTCGCTGTCCTTTAAAAATAATATAGAAAATATTTTTGTCGGGCTATAACAAATTTCGATTATTCATGAGATAATGACAAGATTCTTGGTACAGTAATTAATTTAATATAATGTCAATTTACAAAACAGATACGAATGTACAATATAGGCCCTAAACAAAGAACGGAAGTTAGCAAGCCGCAAGTTGTGGAAATAACGTTTTCTTTATCCGCCTAGTTTCAGGTCTCTCATGGTTTCAGCGAGTTGGAATATATGTTGTTGTTGAATAGAAGATAGAACAATGGATAGAATGCAACCATGTTAGTGCATGCTTCTGTCGAGGAAATTTTCAATGCCTTTAATGCCTAACAAACTTAGTCAAAACCATAACCATAAAATGAAGATAGAATTTCCCATTTAAATAATAAACGATACAAAATGTTCAATACTGTACTCACATTTGTTATTGATTGTAATGTCTCCTTCATAGTCTTTCAACTCCATTCAGTATTGTTTATATGTAAAACGCCACCTGGAGAGGTACCGGTATCAAAAACAATTCATTATTGTTTTTCCAAAGCGCCATTCCTTTATGATGATGATGATGATGATGATGGCTGGGGTCCTAAGTCTCCCGGAACTCGCAGGAGTCACTCTGAAACCGGGACGGCCTCCACAAATTAATAATTTTGCATGTTTTCACTGCTTTATTATCAATTTTCTCACGGAAGTCAGTGCCGATGGGTATCACTATGTGCAGTAAAATAAAATTAAATGTGTTAACAAAGCTCATTAACCAGATCAGTGGCGGATTTAAAGAAGGGAGAAGCCGCCTCCCCCCCCCACCATATTTCAAAATCACGAAAAAATTGGATAGACATGAAAATTATACTCGAACTTAAGCATGAGAGAGCCACTTCCGGCTATCAAGAGGTGCCACAATCACAAACGTTCCCAACCTAGCCCCATCCATGGTGGGGCCAACATAGTCCAGACCCACCATTATGGAAGTCCTTCCCTCCTCCCTGCCTCCTTCTATTCCTTTCAGGATTCCTTTATGATGATGATGATGATAATAATAATAACAATGGTGATGGGTATGATGATATTGATTATAATGAAGATGATGATGTTGATGATGATGTTGATGGTGATGGTAATGGTGATGATGTTGATGATGATGTTCATAATTATGATTATATTGATGATAGTAAAATAAGAATCGACCTTATAAAAGAAAACCGTGTGTAACTTTTAATTCTTCAAAACATACACGATGAACGTTACCGGTGATGAATGGCGTTCAGCGTAACAAAAGAAACGTACCGGTAGGCAATGTTGAGCCCAAAACTTTAGGTGTCCAAAAGCTGCCTTATAATGATGATGATGATGTTGATGATGATGTTGATGGTGATGGTAATGGTGATGATGTTGATGATGATGTTCATAATTATGATTATATTGATGATAGTAAAATAAGAATCGACCTTATAAAAGAAAACCGTGTGTAACTTTTAATTCTTCAGTGCGCTGGTTTTCGTATTTTGTTTAAGTAAACTTCAACTTCTGTTTTTTTCCCAATTCTTAATTTTAGTAATTGAGATTGATTTTGAATATATTCAGAGGTATAAATATGAAATAACAATCAACTGTTGTAAAATTTTGGGGGTGGGATCCGGCCAAACTGTCACCATGACACAAAGCTATAATGTCAAACCGGCCCTAAATTAAACTTGCAATCAAATTTTATACACTTTTAAAGTGAGGGCATTCATTTTGTAAAGTAAAAGTATGCATGCGCTATTTCCCGGCAGAGGCGCCTTATTTCAAGCATGGTGGAGCTGAGATGGGTAGGATCAACTAACTGTCGTGTCCTGCCCCTTGTGGAAAGGGGTAGAGACTCCACAGGTATGCCACCTGTTTTTTCCGGGCATCCGGTGCCATATTTCCACAATTTGCTCCCCTCAGCCCCAACTATGGTGGGGCTAAGATGGGTATAGACTCTAAAAATTATAAAGATGCTGATTAAGATGGTAGTGGTGGTGATGTTGATGATTTAAAGATATATCGTCTCTGGTAATGTCTATAAAAAAAAACCGCAACAAATTTAATTTTAAAAGATCAAATAAGTTCTAATATTAAAGGTACAAATCCAAATAATTATTGTTGCTTGCATTTTATTACAAAGATCCTTAAATTAATACCTGCCCATTCATTCATCATTTATATCTTCAGATGAAGTCCACTGCTTGGACGAAAGCAACGGTCAAATTGTATAGTTAGTCTTAGGAGTGCTCTTGTCATTCTTTATATTGTTCTATAGCAACTAATGCGTCTACACCTTGTATTCATGTTTTTAACAAAGTTTAAAAAAAATGTCAGTTGATATTGTCAAAAGGTGGCGCTGTGCAACACTGAATCAGAACACTAATAAAATATAACCACTACAGTATTTTAAAATAGGAAGGAAGTTCACGCAATTCAATGAGTTAACTCTTCAGGTCATTATTTAGTAGAGCTTTTTAGAAGGGTCCACTCGACAGATAATATGGCCCTTCCTGATATGCTTAACTGTATTCACACGATACGGTATCTTATGAAACAGGTAGCATTTCTGGCATAACTCACAACGTTAAGGCTATGATCAACACTTGATGCTCGCAAATACCATTTAAAACTTAGTTTTAAGTCTAAATACTGTTAATTCCAACGATATGCAATAATTTCAATAAAGCCTTAATTCTGGCAGAATTCACAAAATTTGATGCTATGAATTAATGGTTTTTGTCGACATTTGGGCGATTTTTTTCGACCCTATAATTCAATGGTTGTTTTGTGTTCTGTGGCACCTATGGGTCATACAAATGTGTGTTGTGGCTCCTATACAGACCTCTCGAATGGAAAACAGAAAATGTAGGAGAAAAATAGCCCAATTTTTGAACAAACGCAAGTTTCTATGGTTTTGTAAAGATTTTAACGATTTTTCGACCCTGCCATTTTCCGGTTGTTTTGTGTTCTGCGGCACATACAGATCATACGAATATGTTGTGTGGCACAAATGGAAAAATCAATCAAAACGGGTGTTCTGTGGCACATACGAGTATGTTTTGTGGCACCTACGAACCCTACGAATTGAAGGATCTCCAAAAACGACTAGCTGAAAAATAGCCCAATTTTTGGAAAAAAAACGCAAAGGATATAGCTCATGGTTTTGTCAATATTTAACGATTTTTCCACCCTGCCAATTTCCGGTTGTTTTGTGTTCTGTGGCACCTACAGATCATACGAATGTGTTCTGTGGCATCTACGGACCCTACTAATGGAATCACTAACAACGACTAACTAAAAAATAGCCCAACTTCGGAAAAATTTGGAAGGGTACAGCACATATTTTTTTGTCAATTTTTCGACCCTGTTATTGTATTTTCGGTTGTTTTATGTTCTGTGGCACCTATGTACCATACGAACGGAGGAATCCCTAAAAACGACTAGGTGAAAAATATCCCAATTTTGGAAAATTGTTTTTGTCGATTTTTCGACCCTCCAATTTTCCAGTTTCGTGTTTTGTGGCACCTACGATCATATGAATGTGTTCTGTGGCACCTAGGAATAAAAGAATCATCAGAAGCGACTGGGTGAAAAATAGCCCAATTTTTTGAAAAATTAAAAGGACATAGCTTAGGCCTATGTATTTTTTTTCAAAAATGGTTGATTTTCCAACCCTGCCATTTTTTTTCTGGTTGTATTAGATACCACTTGTAGTGGTGTTGTATTTTTTTTTTTGTTGAGCCAATTAATTTAGCCAAAAATTTATATTGGTGCCCAAATTTACTGCATTTTACTTTTGTTATTATTGTATTCCATAGCCCTTCAAAGTTTAATATCGATCTAAATATTGAATATTTTGGCAGAAATTGAAATTAATAAATTAAATGACAGACATTTTGGCGGCCTATAAACCCATAAACCGCTGTTCTACAGAATAATGTAGGCCTAGTATTACATCCAATATCAAATTTTTATTCGGTGGCTAGTTTTGGTAGCCATCTTGGATTTTTGCAATTTTAAGTGACTGAATTTGAAATCGATTGGTCACTGCATTCCTTGACCTCCTCCATTTCTAGTATAGACCCCAAACTTATTGTCCTATCAAGAATATTATCAGGATAATTATTTATTCCACCAGACCACATTCTTTTGAATTGGTAATATTTATTTTTTTCCTCTGCCACGAATGCAATTATGCGTTCTTAAGCATGTAATATACTGAAAATAAATGATGTTCTCAAGTAGCTTTGAGTACAGATACATAGCGTAGCTTGTAGATATGTATCGGAACAAGTTCGTTCTTGTTTTTTTTTCTCATTTATGTTACTAACGAAATGAGACAATAAATAAGTATGACAAAATTATTAAATTACATTTTTGATTTTTGTTAAACATATTTTATGAAAGATAGCATATAATTACACAATAAAATGCCCATAAGCCAACATTTAATTATTTTATTACAAAAAGATTTACTTTATAATTCTACAAAACAATCAATCAATCGATTTTCCATTTAAAATGTATGTTTATAACTATTCACAAGCAGGAGATTGATAATTGATTGTTATTTAAGGGGATGGCGGGAGCTTTTGCTAACAGCTTTTTCCTTTGACCTTTTGACATCTTTAAAAGAGAATAGTCTCTTCTTAGGAGAGGATTTATTTTTTCCAAATGTTCCGTATAAATGTTTAGACGTAGTGGCCTCTTTGTTGGGATCTGAGTTTCCAGATTTTTGGTGACCAGTCTTTGAAACAGCGCCATCTGTCAGCTCTCCCTTCTTTGTTAGCGACCGCCCGAATTTCACTAAAAATGATGGTTTTCTTTTTTTCTTTATATCTTTGTTTTTTTCGGAGTTGGCTATGTCTTCTACGCATGATTCTTGGTGATCGGCTTCCAATGATGCACCACCGCTTTCACCATCAGTTCTAACAATGCTATCTACTGCTACCACATCTTCATCCCACTCTATATCAGATATTGGTCCATCACGATGCTGATCTGAGTTTTCGTCTTGGTATCTTTCCACTTTTTCTTCTTTACTTTTTTTCGATGTCTTTGTTTTATGTTTCTTGGTGAATAATCGCCGAAAAAATCCATAGCCTTTTTTCTGTTGGTTTTTATTAAGCTTCTTGGAATCATCATTAGGTTTGCATTCTGATGTTGAGGAAATATCTTCGTAAGTTTTGGCACTGTGAAATGAGACATCTGATGTTTTCCGAGTGATATCTTCCATTAGTTCCTCGTCCTCCTTAACTTCGCAAATGCTGCTATTCCATAAATACATGTCACAATTGCTATTTGTAACGTCTGTCGGACGGTTTAGACAAGGTTTCATCGCAATGTCTTCGTATATTTCTGCAGACGTCGCTGTTTCCCGTTCTTCGTAATCATTGACATCTTTCTGAAATGTATGTCCATATGAAGCAGCCGATTTGTCATGCAATGTTGTGTCTGTTTTATCTAGAGATTCATCATCGCTGGGCAAAGGCGAGTGCAGAGCATCAAAAAACGCCTGAAATATAGTAAACGAGCCTGGACTTTCTATCTTGTCCTCTATTTTTTTGTTTACTTCATTAGTTCG